AAAAGGAGCTAAGTGTCCCAAGGTCCTTATATTGTTAGGAAGGAGGGTAAAGAGAATGACTGGACTCAGACCTTAAGTTAAACATAAATGTTAAAATTTCAAGGAAAAGCACTAGAAAAACCAGAAACAGAATATATAACTTCCACATTCTTCAGGAAAAACGAAAAGGGAACAAGGAGATCTTGCTAGTTAATCCAAGAAAAGGAAAAAAATAATACAAAATTAAAAAGTAAAAATGATTCCAAATATATCTGCAATATTAATAAATGTAAGTGGGCCAATCTGTCAAGAAATATAAGAATAAAAAGTTCAACTACAAACTATAAGAAATAAGCTTAAAATCTAAGGATAAGAAAAGTTGGAAGTAAAAGAATGAAAACATATGTAATGCAAACAACCCAAAGAAAATATAGCTACATTAATATCAGACAAAATAGAAAAAAATTATTACTAGAAGGAGTTCACTGTATGTTGATGAAAAATTTAATTTGCTAAGGAGACATCAATTCTAAGGTTAAGTAGACTTAATAACATACCCTGAAAATAGTTACAGTGAAGTCGACAGAAATACAAAGTGAAGTTAGCATCATGAATCCTCTCTCAATCAGAAAAAAATTCATTAAAGAAATAAAAGATCTAAACAATTAACAAGCTTTATGTTAATACATATACAGGATATTGTACCAATATTAACATCTATCTTCAACATCATATTGAACATCTGTGAAAATTGACTACATATTAAGTTATAAAACAAAACTTCAAAGTATTATACAGACCTTATTCACTGAGCACAGATTAACAAATTAAAAGAAGATAATTTCAAAATCCATCAGTTGGAAATGTTAAATATCTGATGAGTAAAAAAATGATACCACAACAGTATTTAGGAAAAAAACCAACCAATGAATTCATTAAATGGTCATTTCCATTTACATCATTTAAAAAATCATACAGCAAACACACTGGAAATCCATTTATGCATAGATTCTGGTGTCTTTTGAAATGGTAGCCACTTTGGAAGAAATTAATTTGAGACAGTAATAAGGGTATAAGGTGACAGGTATTTCCAGTAAAGCCAGTGTAAATTCTAAGTTAATAAAAAATTTTGCATCATTTATTTTTACTCCGTTTTTTTGTTATGTAAGAAAAATAAATCTTATTTCTTTACATCATAGCTATGTCAATTTCTCTCAGCCATCAGTATTCCTAGCTAACTGAGTGCTGATTCTGACTTTATTTTCAACACCTGACAAACTCCACAGAGGTATGAAAGGAACAGGATGAACAGTCTTTAAAACGAATGATTAAACCAGACTGTAACAAATCAGTTTTCCCTCTCAGGAATCATTTTTAGTATAACAAATACAGACACAATTGACAAACATATTAAGTAAAAGATATTATATCAGGCAAGAAATTTAACACCAGCATAACCAAGAAAATTATACACAGAATGTTTGAAGCGAAGCTGAAGTCTGAGACATGCCTGTAAAATGATGAATGTAATTTGTGAGCCCAGTATAGAATTTATGATCATCATGTTTTAGCCTGGAAGGACAGCTTTCAAGCCACAGGTAAGTAATCTGTTCTGAAACTAGAGACAGAAAACTGACTCTCTCCCAGTAGGGACAAGCCTTAGCTGTCTTAATTTCTCTATCACCTTAAAAGAAAACAGCTATGGTCCCACCACACCACTCCTAGACCTAAAAAGTGTGTAACAATTAGCTTACTCCTAAATCCTGAAATAGAAATATCTAAATAGCTGCAGTTTATAGAATTCCCTCCTATGTTAATCTACTGTACACATCTACCATTCCCAACAATTCCAAGACATGTGAACTGTCTTTAGATTTTTACATTTATCTTCATTAACACGTGCAAAGGACATTTCAAAACACCAGTGAGATCAATATGCTTTCTTCCAATCTAAGTCTTAACCAGAAGAACACTGTATTTAATCTGAATAGCCAATTAGCTCTTTGTTTTCTAATAGTGAAAACTACCCAAAGTTTTACTTTAAAGCATCACCAATAATTGATACCAGTCTAGTCAAGGCTATGGTTTTTCCAGTAGTCATGTATGGATGTGAGAGTTGTACTATAAAGAAAGCTGAGCACTGAAGAATTGATGCTTTTGAACTGTGGTGTTGGAGAAGACTGTTGAGAGTCCCTTGGACTGCAAGGAGGTCCAACCAGTTCATCCTAAAGGAGATCAGTCCTGGGTGTTCATTGGAAGGACTGATATTGAAGCTGAAACTCCAATACTTTGTCCACCTGATGTGAAGAACTGATTCACTTGAAAAGACCCTGATGCTGGGAAAGATTGAGGGCAGGAGGAGAAGGGGACGACAGAGGATGAGATGGTTGGATAGCATCACCAACTCAATGGACATGAGTTTGGGTAAACTCCGGGAGTTGGTGATGGACAAGGAGGCCTGGTGTGCTGCGGTTCATGGGGTTGCAAAGAGCTGGACGCAACTGACCGACTGAACTGAACAGCTGTTTAAACCAGAAACTTTCGAGTTGGACTGCTGTTTAGCGAGTAAAAATACAGGACAACTAGTTAAGTTGGAACTTCAGATAAGTTACAAAAATTTTTTAGTACAAGTATGTACTACATATCACATGTGACAAACTAGAAGATTTTTCAGTTTATCTGAAATTCAAGCTTAACTGAGCGTCCTGTATTTTATCGGACAACTCTAAGCTAGAATTCTCCTTCTGTTACCTCCCACATGCAGTCCATCCCGAAAGGCCTATCAATTCTACCTCCTAAAAACATCTAAAATCCATCCACTTTTCTCCATTTCTTCTGCCATCACATTGGTCTAAGCCACCAATCTAAGAATTTCCCAAGTGCCTCTCTGCTTCTACTTCTGTAGAACTACCACGTTCTCTAAATGTATCAGCATCAACTTTATACTAAGAGAAATAAAAGCTAACTTCAAGTTTCCCCTTTCTGGGTCATTATTGAGTAGCTGAATAGCAGCAGAAACCTAAAATCTCTTAAGCGGCATCAGAAGGACCCATGAAACCGCAACTCTGAAGAAGGAGGACTTTTCAGGGGTGACCTCTGAAACAGCTCTAAGGAAAGTAACAGTTCTCTTAGCTGTGTCCAAGTCAATGACCTCTATCAATCATCTTGCTAAATGGTGTTTATTGCTACAAAGAGATAAGCTAAGAAAATCTGTGCAGCCACAAGTAAATTAGGAGTTCAATAAAGTTGGTTTTAAAACACTCTTATCTTTCAGAAAGAATTCTAAGATTGAGAAAGAGACTGCTTGATTGTGAGATATTCCTGTCCTTCAAACTGCTATTCTAGGAAACCATCCTGGTTACTGTGCCCATCAACCCAAGGTTGCAGAGTCACAGAGCAGAGCACTAGAGAATTTAGGTGGTCGGTAAGTAAAAGTGAAAAAAATGTGGCACTGGCTTTTTCAGATTACCGATGCTCAAGAACAGTTGCCACCTCCTGACTAATGAATAATAAGTATTTTGGTTGTGAGAACTACAGTCCTCTGCGAGTCTCCTGTCATGCTGTGTGATCAATGGATAGCAACAAAGCAATTATACAGAGAAATGCCAGTGCAGACTTTAAAGATTTGTGTGATACCGCAGAGCTGTAGGAGCTAACCAAATTAAACACAAATTACTGCCATGGAAGTAACTGGCAGAAAACAGGTTTCCCTGTATATCAAACAGGCTTGTGGAATTGTTACAAATAACTCTTAGATCATAGAACATGATGGCAATTCAAGTGTTTCAAAGTTCTTACAATGTAAATTTGAACAGTCATCTTTTTAACACAGAATACTCAGTCTTAATGTTGTTGGCACTGAACAAAGAAACTATTCAAGCTGTCTCCACATGAAACAAGCATTCAAAGGGGAAGTCAGAACAGCCTCTTATGAGAGCGAGTTCCTTTATTGGGGATCCAGTTATTATTATTCAATAAACAAGCCTTTCTGTGGATAAAACCTAATGATGCCACCAAAATCGTTCTTGGATGCCCCATCCAAGATACAGCTTTTAGTATGTCTTCTCTACAGCGGAAAATAGAATTTCAGCCTCTGGACACCCTGGCAGAGGCCAGTATTAGAGATTGGAAAGAGGTATGAATGGTTGCACCGGGTCCAGTCAATCTCTATAAAAAGAAGCTTAGATGCTGCAAGAACAGGCAACCCTTAACACCTGCACTTGTATTTCCTGTATAATCTGTTTTGTGGGTCTCCATTGATCACACAACGTGACAAGCTGGCAGCACTCCGGGATAACTGGCTCCACAACCAAAATACGTGTAAAATGATTCATTCCCAGTTTCTGTCAGCACCTGGGACTACAGATCTGAGGACCAGCAAGCTGTTTCAGTCACACGAAATGCACTGGAAATTGACTTACAGCAGAAGTGAGCTTTCTTATAAAGGGCTTCCCTTGGAGAAACTGAGGATCAGAAACTGAATCCTAACCGCTCTGAGACCATGTCAGCCTCCACTCGCGGGACCCCGAGTCCCCCCGGGATGCGCTTTCACGTGCTCTCATATGAAGGTCCACTGCTCGGCGAAGAACGTGTTGGGGCGGGGGGGTGCGGTGCGGGCTGGACCCCGGCTTTTCTGTGAATAAGGCCGCTCTTTGAGGCTCTCTAGACCCAGCACAGGAGGGCAGAGAGCGGCCCGGGCGTTTGCTTTGGGGCTGAACTTGGGACGGGAGCACCTGAGTCCGCTCCGCGGGCGGGTGGTCGCCAACCCGCGCGGTGTCGCCCGAGCGCGCGGACCCGAAGCCGGGGGGCGGGGGCCCGCCGAGCCCGCTTACACCCCGCTCCCACCCACCCGCCGACCCCCGGCCGCGCGGCCCCTTCCGGGTGAGCCGGGCCGCGGCGGCGGGACCCGCGTGGCCGCCCGGGCTTGGGGCTCCGGCGCGGGATGGGCCCGGCCCGGCGCCCGCGCCTGCCCCGCGGTCCCGGCGGCTGCCCGGCCTCTGCGCTGCCGGGCGGGCGCTCACCTCTCCCTGGAGTAGAGCTGCAGCTGCTGCTCGCGCTGCCTCTTCCGGGTGAACGCCATGGAGGGCGGGCGGGGCGCGCGGCTCCGGCTCGGGTTCCGCGGCGCCGCCGGCCGAGAGGTCGGGAACCCGGGAGGCGGGCCGGGCACAGCCGGCCTGCGGGGCCCACGAGGAGTGCGCGCCTGCGGCCTGGCGTCCCGAGCCCGCGCTCAGCGCCGCATCCCCGCCGCGTGGGGCCTCGGCCGTGACTCAGGTCGGAGGAGGGGCGGGCGCTCGCCCGAGGCGCCCGGGACCCAGGGTCCGGCTTGGGGGTCCGTCCCTCCGCCCCAAACCGCCGCCCCGCGGCTCCATTTCACTGCTTTTCCGCCTAAAGACGGAAGCCCACCCTGAACTAAGCCAGCGTGTTGGCCACGGAGGTTCTAAATAACAGTTGAATCTTTAGTTGAAATAACTAGTCACATGACTCTCTTTTTGTTAACAGCTGTGTTTGAGATCTAGCTTACATGCAAAACAATTCAGCCATTTAGAGTACCAATCAGTGGTTTTTAGTACAGATATGTTCCATTTATTGGTGCAGTCGAAATCCAGCAGAACCCTGGTGGGGGGTGGGGTGCGGGGGGGCTTCTGGGTACAAAAGCCTTTCTGGGTCCCTGTTTATGTTTGAAGATAAATGCTTTAGTCTCCTAGGCCTTCGCTGAGTTTCCAAGGGCAGCTTCAAGCAGTTACTAACCAGGGCAGAGGGAAGCAGTCCATCACAGTGCAGAGCAGAGTCCTAGCTGCTCCTCAGGATGAAGCCAATGCAACTGAGCTCTGCTACCGGATAAGGCCCCGAGGGCAGGGGGGATGGTGACTTCAGACTACCCACACTACTTCATCCTCTTCCCTCACCACCGAACAGTGAGAAAAAAGGCAAACACCCTTCCTCCCTCTGCCCACATTTTGCCTATAAACACTCTTCCCTGAAACCCACTTGGTCTAGCAATAGATGCTCTGAGTTCCGAATAGAGTCACCTCCGCTGGAAAAAAGCCCAGAAAGCAGCTTGCAAGTTTTCTTCATTCAGTTAAACGTTAGCGACTGATGTGACCCTGCCGATGGAGAGTGACAAAGATTCCCTGACGGAGAGAACTCCAGCCTCGCCACTTTGAGCCTTCCTCTCCCCCAGGCCTTGGCCTAGAAAACCACAGACTCTCAGCACATATGATTTTGTCTGCCACAGTACAAGACCTGCACAAACAGGGGCAGTTTCTGACTACCCAGGCCTCCTCCCTGGGTACCCGCAGCTCCCCTTAAGTGCCTGTCTGAGGAGGCTTAAGGCTTCCCAGAGGATTTACTATTTATTCTAGCCAACACCTGAGCATCCCCGGTGGCTCAGTGGTTAAGAATCTGCCTGCAATGCAGAAGTGGGTTCCATCCCTCGGTGGGGAAGGTCCCCTGAAGGAGGAGACGGCAGCCCACTCCAGTATTCTTGCCTGGAGAATCCCTTGGACAGAGGAGCCTGGCGGGCTACAGTCCGGGGTCACAAAGAGTCAGACACAATTGAGTACATACATAGCCAATACCTGACATGGGCCCTGATTGCTGTTTCTGAGGGCATTTACAAAAAGGCCTTACAGCTGTGAATTCTTTCTCTGAACCCTTGAGATGTGTCTCCCACAAGCCAGGATTGGCTTCCTAAAGGACTCGAAAGCCATTTGAAATATCATCAGGAGGCTGAGGGCATCTGTCTCCTGCTTCACCTGTAGCTCAGTTGGTAATTCTTAAGAATAATCCTTATTTATTTTTCTTAAGGGAAAATTATTCTTATCCTTCCTTGGTATTCCCTTATCAGTACTCAAGGCCTCTGTGGGAATGATCTGATTACTGAAATGCTATTACCAGGGCCCACATGCAGGCTGGTTCTTTCTGTTCTAGCTCATGTGAGTATGTTTCTCAGTCATGTCCGACTCTTTGCGACCCCATGAACTATATAGCCTGCCAGGCTCCTCTGTCCGTGGGATTCTCCAGGGAAGAATATTGGACTGGGTAGCCAGTCCCTTCTCCAGGAGATATCTTCCTGACCCCAGGATCGAACTCAGGTCTCCTGCATCGCAGGCGGCTTCTTGACCATCCATGCAACCGGGGAAGTCCACTCCAGCCCACTGATTTTAGATAAAATTGACTCAAAGCTCACAGAATTCAACGCCCTTTCCAATGTGTCACTTCCTTTTTCTGAGGGCTTCCATCGTCACGACTCTCTCTGTCTTCCGAGATCCTGCTTTTTGACAGGAAAGTCTTCCCTTTCACCACGGGAGCGTTTTATCTGCCCCCCTCCCCACAGCGGTAATGGAGAGTTGTGAATCCTGGCAGCAGTAACATCAGTGCAAACTGCTCTTAAAAACCCATGTGAGAGACCCTAAGTTGGATCCCTGGTCAGGGAACTAGATCCCACATGCAGCAACTAAGAGTTTGAATGCCATACCTAAGACTTAGTGCAGCCAAATAAGTAAACATTTAAAAAAAAAAAACCGTGAATATTTTCTTAGCTATTTTAAGTCTACCACCACTGAGGATCCCTCACATTTTTCTTCCACAAAGAGTCCAGGCTTACAAATTCCTTACCCCTCCTCACCCCACAGCCTTTCTAGGGCTAAGGAGTTCGGCCCCAGGATCCTCCGGGGTCTTGTTAGAAACACAGATTGCTGGCCCCACCCTGGTGTTTCTGATCTACTAGATGACTTCCCCAATGGCTCAACAAGTAAAAAATCCACCTGCAAAGCAGGAGACATGGGAGATGCGGGTTCTATCCCTGGGTTGGGAAGATCCCCTGGAGTGACAACCCACTCCAGTATTCCTGCCTGGGAAATCCCAGGAACAGAGGAGCCTGGCGGGCTGCAGTCCATGGGGCTGCAGAGTCAGACAGGACTGTGACTGAGCAAGACAGATCTGAGGTGGGCACCGAGAGTGCTGAGCCCCCAGGTAGTATTGATGCTGGTCTAGAGACCACTCTGAGAAACCCGGTTTTAGAACAACAAATTCCTTCCCAGTCTTAAAGAAAGCAGCACCTCCATCTCCCCTGCCTCCACACCCCACCCTTCTCTTCATCCTGGCATCAGCAAATATGCAACCTCAGGTGCGGGGAGTGGGGGGGAGTGCTTGCTTTTGACTGCAAGCACTTATCAGCACCTTTCCCCCAATAAGCACAGTTTCCTTTCTAAGAGGCATGAGGTGCCAGGTTTAAAGAAAATGAGCCTTGTTTCTCCCCCACTGTGTTGCCTCATCATTGTAATTGTCAATATTATTGCTATCTGAATTTATGATGCAATTACTTTGTAGAAAACACTACGCTGAGTACTTTGCATGCATTTTATTCTTCAATCCCGTTGGGAGCTAATTCTCCACAAATTTTTCACATTTCTCCATATTAGGCATCATCAGTCAATTTGCTCAGATTTATTTCCATTCTGGGAGAGTAGAGATCAAGAGTATCCTCCCCCGGGGGACACCCCAGGGATGATGAGGACCACACCCTCCCTGCCCCAGGGAAGACTTGCCGACCTCTCAGGATAATTAATAGAATAGTTCTCTCCGGAGGACAGAGGGCATGGGTTTGCCAGCAGCCTCTGAATAGGCTTTAGCTCAAACAGTAAAGAATCTGCCTGCATTGTGGAAGACTTGGGTTCGAGCCCTGGGTTGGGAAGATCCCCTGGAGGAGGGAATGGCTACCCACTCCAGTATTCTTGCCTGGAGAATCCCCAGGGACAGAAGAGCCTGGTGGGTTCCAGTCCATGGGTTGCAAAGAGTCAGACAAGCCTGAGCAACTTTCACTTTCCTGGAGAAGTCTGGGGATTTCCAAAGATGCGTATTCCTGAGCTGGGATGCAGGACCACGGTGCGTCCACATGCACTGACCACCTCATTGCACCAGTGGGATGTGAGGGCCAAGGGGCTCATGTTCCCTGCTCTGCGGTGAGTGACACGCTCTCCAAGTCCATGTGAGTACACTGTGCCTGTACCGCCAAATCTAGAGGCATTTGCCAAGCCCATCTAGCAGCTGTCACCCGCCACTCCAGAGGAACTACCTGACTCCCTTCTCGGCAAATCTCTAAGACTGTTCTATTATTTCCATTCTTTGGAAGAGAACAGCTAATAATATAATATAAACAGCAGTTTAATAATATGTCCAATAGTAAGTGACAATGCCAGTTGATAAGTGACAGTGACAAGATCTGATCCCATGTCTGCCTGACTCAAATCTACTTTCTTTGCAATTATACATTTCCAGTGGCAATTCTGAGAACTTAAAAAAAAAAAAACACCAATAATCAGAAGTTCTCATTATTGTATTAAAGCTCTAAGTAACCTCACAGGAAGAAAACAAAATTTTCCACTGTCAGTGTACGCAAGGGATCACCAATATACCTACCAGTGACAGTTGCTCCTGGACAATCTTCCTTGAAGGCAGGGAGGGGGAAGGGTCAACTCAAGGTTTCTGACATCCCCTTTCAAAAAAATAGCTCTTTTTATTTATTTGGCCACACTGGGTCTTAGTTGCAGCACACAGGCTCTCTTAGTAGCAGCATGTGACCCCCTAGCTGTGGCATGTGGGATCTAGCTCCCTGACCAGGGATTGAACCCAGCCCCCAGAGTCTTAGCCACTGGACCATCAGGGACATCCCTGAGATCCTCATAAAGTCTGCTTTTCCTCCATTTCTCTTAGTAATTTATAGTATTTGTACATCTACATATCCATTTTCAGTCAGGTTTACTGAGGTGTAACTTACATACAGTAACGTTCCTCAGTTGTAACTGTGTCGTGATCGCATCCCGTGTTATGACGCGTGTGGAGTCGTGACCATGACCATGCTTGTGATGTAGGAATTTCCATCACCCTAAAATGCTTTCTTGAGCCCTGTTGTCAGGAATCCCGGTGTCCCTTCCTGATTCTTGCCAACCACTGATCTGCGTTATGTCTGTTTATTCCTCTTTTCTAGACTTTCATATAAATGGAGTTATGAAGCATGTAGTCATTCCTGTCTGACTTCCTTCCCTCAGCCCAGAGCTCTTGAGGTACATCCATGTGGTT